CCCCAAAACCCCAAAACCCCGCCATTCGAAATCGATCAAGCAATATTATTAAGTTTTAAGAAATAAAGAGTCTTAAGTTAATATGTATAAAACTGATTCTAATTGATCAATATAGTTTTTATACAGAAGGGTCAAACTAAGAGCTAGAAATATTGGAATCTTTATTAATTCTTAGACTTTCATTCTTAAGTTTAGATCTTCTTTGAAGAATTGTTGTTTGTGATAATCCTACAGGTTAGGTGATCATATGAGAGTCTGACAGTAAATGGGCAGATAGATCATTGATTGATTCATATGGGGAATCTTGAAGTAGCATATTTTAGTTTCCGTTAACTATCTAATTTCTATATCGACTTTGAGCTCTTGAAACTTATCCCTTATGCTTTGATAATAAAGTTGATCTTGAAGGTTAAAATGACATTTTATTAGCATTAATTGATTACAATATATCCTTTTTGTCTGTAGCTAAAGTAGTTCTATTAAAATATGTAGATTGTGGTCTGACTTAATTGAATTTATCTGCCTATTGATAATTGAAGCTTTGAAGAGTTCCATTATTAAATCGATTTATTTCTGGAGATAGAACATCAAATGAGGAATTTTAAGTCAGATAGTTGGTTAGCAATTATTGAATTTAAACGTTGCTAAAAGCTGTATTATTGTTATTCCTGCTATATGTTCTTCTTGATTTGAGGCTTTTCGCCTTTGGAGACAGTAAAAAGTTATTTGAGGTCTATATTTTAGGCTTCCATCCAGACTGATTTCGACTAGCTCTTGATTAAATAAGTTTAGTATACTTGCTAACCTCAGATGTTTTATCTATTTTCTCATTTTACCTCTCTGGACTTTTCTTTGGACTTAGCTGTGTAATTTCAATCCTATCAAAATTCAGCATTTTTTCAGCTTAATTCATTAACCTTGGAATCCTCATAATAGCTATAGCTTACTTTAGCTATGTCTTATATTCATCTTTCTTCGCTTCTATTTTCTTTATCAATGCATCTTTTATTAGAATTTCCTTATCGAAGTCAACTCTCATCTAAGCAATCTTATTAGAAATAGCTTGCAATTCTTCTCGATGTCTTTATTCTTAGTTTTATATTCTTTCCTCTTCAAGCTATTTTTAGATATCTAGCTCGTCTCTCATATATTTTATGTCAAGCCTACATTATTCCGCCTCTTCTCGAAACCGTTCTGCCACTGAAATGCAATCTTCAGACATATGCTATAAGTTATCATTATTATCTTAGAACACCTCAATTTATTCCTTGATTTTAGCATTTTCTTCTTCAAGTTTCTTTAGTTGCTCCATTAGTGCTTGCTTTTCAGGATCATTACTCCCTGCTTAGCCTGAAGGTTGATAAAATAGCATTTTCTTGAATCTTTCTTCATCATCCTTCTTTTTCTACTCTCTTATCCTTCTCTGATACTGTTACTCTACCTCTGTTTCTTATCGTGCAAGCAGATTGATAAGCTTTTTAATGAGCTTTTCTTTAATAGCAATTTACAATCTAATATGATCATTTTAATCTCGTAGCAGCTTTATTTCTTTTTAATAAATGGTTCCTATTCGTTTTTCTCTCTCTTTTTGCTCCTTCTATAGAATTCAATAAGTCAATAATTCTTTGATTACAGATAATTGATCTTTGCTCATCTATAGCTACATATGGAGATCATAGTCATATCATTCCTTCATTCTTTTTATTTTTTCATCAGCATCACTATAAGTTGTTATTCTTGTCTAACAAATGAAAAATATACTTCTCATTAACTGATTTATTGTGATTTCCTCTGAAGCTGTTTGAGGCCTAGCTGTAGTTATCCTTATTTACGTTTAATTTATACTCATTTTTTTCAACGGGTAATTACAATCGAACAGACATTTTATCCATTTCTATTTCCTGAAATTCGTCGATAAACGAGGAGAGTGGCTTTCTCATAATGTAATCTTCATCACTCTCATCAATATGACTTCTAGGACCTACACTAATTGGCTTATGAATGCTGAACGTTTAAGAATCTGGATCTTAAGACTGGTTTCATCTGAACATTTTCTTTTTGGAATTTTGAGAATTTAAAGTATTATCCATTGCTTTTAGAATGTTTACTTAGAGAAAAGCACCTGATGCTGATAATCTTGGTTCCTTCTGACTATTATATTTTCAAATTTCATCGCCTAGTTTATTCCCAAGTTAAGTTGTATTATTTTTAGATTGCTTTTGATTGGATTTCATTTGTTATGCAATGATTTTATATTTCAGATCGAGAGATTAAAGTAGTTTATAGTAAAATCTAAAGAAAATATTTTATATTAGTATAAAATAGCTCTCAAACACAAAATAATCAAATTATTTAATACTTTATCTAAGTAGTTGTTTGAATAAGCCTGAATTTAGTTTATGGGGTTTTGGGGTTTTGGGGTTTTGGGG